ACTAGTACAAGAATGTTTGTCCTTGATGACAGTGAAGGAGAGCCATGATCAGTAGCTATTAGAGTTAGGTTATACATGGCACGACTTTCCCTGTCCAGTGTTTCAATTACGCTCAATATTCCCGTTTGTCGATCTATCAAAAATATATCTTCTCCCTCTAAAGCATATGTAACTTTTCTATTTATTCCTGAAAGAGTGTAGATAACTATAGTAAATGGCATGAGACAAAATTATGTCATTAATTTAGCAATTACTGTGTAATAAAAAAATTCTAAAATGTGTATCCACTTTATATATTAATACAAAAAAAATTCAAAATGTAAAACACATAGAACAAGCTTTTTTTTTATATTAAATAATACTTTATACTTACAAGGGTGTTATCAAGTACAGTACAGATTTGATGAAAGATCTATTTAGGGTGAAACAACATCTAATAAACACACACACACACACACACACACACACACACACACACACACACACACACACACACACACACACACACACACACACACACACACACTCACACTCTCTCACTCACACACACACACACACACACTCACTCACTCTCTCACTCACACACTCTCTCACTCACACACACACACACACAATCCCACCAAGTGCAAAGTCATGAAGATTGGGGAAGGGCAAAGAAGACCGCAGATGGAGTACAGTCTAGGGGGCCAGAGACTACAAACCTCACTCAAGGAAAAAGATCTTGGGGTGAGTATAACACCAGGCACATCTCCTGAAGCGCACATCAACCAAATAACTGCTGCAGCATATGGGCGCCTGGCAAACCTCAGAACAGCATTCCAACATCTTAATAAGGAGTCGTTCAGGACCCTGTACACCGTGTACGTTAGGCCCATATTGGAGTATGCGGCACCAGTTTGGAACCCACACCTAGCCAAGCATGTAAAGAAACTAGAGAAAGTGCAAAGGTTTGCCACAAGACTAGTCCCAGAGCTAAGAGGTATGTCCTACGAGGAGAGGTTAAGGGAAATCAACCTGATGACACTGGAGGACAGGAGAGATAGGGGGGACATGATAACGACTTACAAAATACTGAGAGGAATTGACAAGGTGGACAAAGACAGGATGTTCCAGAGACTGGACACAGCAACAAGGGGATACAGTTGGAAGCTGAAGACACAGATGAATCACAGGGATGTTAGGAAGTATTTCTTCAGCCACAGAGTAGTCAGGAAGTGTAATAGTTTGGGAAGAGATGTAGTGGAGGTAGGGTTCATACATAGCTTTAAGCAGAGGTACGATAAAGCTCATGGTTCAGGGAGAGTGACCTAGTGGCAACCAGTGAAGAGGCGGGGCCAGGAGCTTGGACTCGACCCCTGCAACCTCAACTAGGTGTGTCAACTAGGTGAGTACACACACACACACACACACACACACACACGTCTGGAACCCACACCTTGTCAAGCACGTCAAGAAGTTAGAGAAAGTACAAAGGTTTGCAACAAAGCTAGTCCCAGAGCTCAGGGGAATGTCATACGAGGAAAGGTTGAGGGAAATCGGACTGACGACACTGGAGGACAGAAGGGTCAGTGGAGACATGATAATGACATACAAGATACTGCGGGGAATAGACAAGGTGGACAGAGATAGGATGTTCCAGAGAGGGGACACAGAAACAACTGGAAGCTGAAGACTCAGACGAGTCACAGGGAGGTTAGGAAGTATTTCTTCAGTCACAGAGTCGTCAGGAATTGGAATAGCCTAGCAAGTGAAGTAGTGGAGGCAGGAACCATACATAGTTTTAAGAAGAGGTATGACAAAGCTCAGGAAGCAGAGAGGGAGAGGACCTAGTAGCGATCAGTGAAGAGGCGGGGGCCAGGAGCTGAGTCTCGACCCCTGCAACCACAATTAGGTGAGTACACACACACACACACACACACACACACACACACACACACACACACACATACACACACACACACACACACTCACACACACACACTCTGTGTGTGTGTGTGTGTGTGTGTGTGTGTGTGTTACATTGCAAGTTTGTCAGCATCTCAACACTCACTACTGGTACAAAAATAATACAAGCACTAATCTGTATTACCTTTATCTGGATCAGATGCATGAACTTTTAGTAGGAGGAGATTCTCTGGAGAATTTTCAGGTACATTGATGCTATAACTGGGCATACTAAAAATGGGCGGATTATCATTCACATCTGTAACTTCTATCTCCACCTGACAAGTGCATTCCCAGTCCAAATTTCCTCCATCCTTCACAGTAGCTTTGAGCAAAAAGTGTGACTGTCTCTCACGATCTAGAGGTTTGGCTACACTAAGTTGGCCAGAATCAACATCTATGGCAAACATTCCTGCACCCTGACCAGTGAGATAGAACTGAAGCTTAGGTGAAAGATCACGGTCAGTGGCAGACACTCTGAGTAGTAATGTTCCAGGCAATGCAGACTCACTGATGGTGTGATGGTACATTGGTGTGGTGCACAGAGGACCATTATCTGAAAGGAAAAATTTAATTGAGCTTTTACTTGTAAGACAGTAACATATTTCAATAATTAGAAGCCACAAAAAAATAAAGACTGGTATAATTGCATAAAAATTCATTTGAAACTTTCACTCCAAAAAACATTGATGTAAATTGTTAGTTTCACTTCTTATCAACTCTTCAAAATCCACATCTCAATAAGTAGGATGGTAGAGAAAATCTTGACTTATATTAAAATGGTATACAATACTGACAAGTTGATGAATAAGACACATGTGCATCACTTAGGTATCATTATTGTAAAAACATTTCTCCTGCACTTGAGGCTTCTTCAGTCAAATACAGGTGATTATAACACTAGAGACAATAGAAATTGAAAGGTAATCTTGATGTGATCAGTACCTCAGTCTTGACAGAAGGTGGTCAGTTCCTTGACTAAGGCACTAACCACCTAGAATAAGTTTCACTATAGTCATTATATAGTTCTAGTTAATATATTTATTATGAAAGCTGAATATATTGAATATATCCTTAGTAGTGTGTGTACTGGGCTGCTCCAGACCAGTGTGTAGGCAGGTCTAAGCCTCAGTTAGATTGTAGTCTAAGTTTGATGTATTTGACACTGTCATATTCCACATGAGATGATCATTATTTGTGAATATAAAGGCAGTTATATTTTCCAATCTAGATGGCTCAAAGATAATCTAGTTGGCCTAAGATAATTTAGTTGGCCTAAGATAAACCAGTCAGTCCCTTTAGAGTTTATTTGTATAAGACTATTCATCTGAATTGCCTCATGGTACTTTCTCTGTTACTGTTCTTACAGTTGAACCCTGTATTTCAAGACAGAGGAAGGATTATGTTTCAGGAGATGCCATGAGTCCTGAAACAGCAGATTATAGGAAATTTCAAATGTCTGAATTAAAAAAAAAAAAACATATAAAATTATGGCTCTAATCTGCTTCATATTCATAAGAAGCGAGGAAAACATCTCAACTTAAATCAAATGGGTATTTTTCAATTTAGAGGTTGTGTATCAAGCAAAAAGACAAATGGCACCAAGAAAGTGAATAACTGAAGCTATTCAATACATGGTGTTCTGTACAAATACTGTACAGTATAACTGAATCGCAAGGATCACAAAACCTATTAATTCTGGTGTTCAAATGTAAGGTGTTTCTTCCTTCTTTCATTCTAGGGGTCTTAGACTGAAATCACAAAGGAAGCTGATTTGTAGAGAAAGATTGGTAAAATTTTCAAGATAGTGTTCAATATTCATTAGCTGGTCTGTAAACTGTTGAGAATTTGCATCTGGTAGCTTGCATGTCAGTACAATACAAAGACTTAAATTCTAACTTCCAGATTTCACTGTCAAAACTTCATCCACATTATGTTTCTGCATTCAGAAGCCCAGTGCAAATAAGTGATTCTTAAGGATACAAACCAACCCTCCATCCCTTGTAGCTGGTTTCATCATCTGCATCTAATTATATTGTGTCTAGGTATTTGTATATCACTGCAAAAGCATTCTTTAATCTGTACTGCCAACCCTTTACTTCTTGCTTATTCATTCATCCCTAACATAAGGGATTTGTACCTGGGGATCTATCAGCAAACCACCTTAACCCTTTCAAGGTTGTGACACTTGTTCTCACTAGCAAAATTTAAAAAAAAAAAATATTTTTTTTCTCATGAAATGGTAGAGAATCTTTTTCTGGAGGTAATAAAGCAAGAAGTACAAAATTTGATGGAAAACTGACGAAAGTACACGAATTTTGCTATGTCAGCAATATTTACACATCAGCAATTTCCTCCACTCTGAGCCCAATTTTAGGCCAATTACATTGTTCCAGTTGACCAATTTCTTCAATATTTCGCTAGTATATCTTCCATTTTATCGACTGAGTACAAAAATTCACCCAATCAACTATTTCTACTACCCAATAAAGGGATCAGAAATTGGTAATTTGGCCAATTTCACACAAATTTCAAAATATTTCAGTTTCAAAACAGGGTGCAGAATAAACAATTCAGGCATTCCTGGCACTAAAATAACATTTCCTCTGTTCATTAGTTATGTTTCAAGGCTTTACACATGAATTCCATTTTGATTTTTTTTCACACACAATTTTTATTCACACAAAAAATAGAAGATTTATTGTTACGCAATATTGTAATAATTGTATAAATAATATCAGTGCATTTGTGAACGCATATTAGACCACCAGTTGACATGTATTGGACATGTGACGTTATTTGTTTACTCTTGAACATCAGCAAAAATTTAACATTTCTGCTACTTTGAGCTTAATTTCAAGCTATTTTCAGTCCTAACACCAATCAAAATCATCTCCAGTTCAGTAATATATCCTCCATTTTATCAAAGGAGACCAAGAAACTGAGAATACACCCATAAAAACCATACAAAATTACACAGCAAAGTTGCTATTTTAAACCAAAAACACAGATGCAGTTTTTTTCCCATTATGCACTGCTTGCTGCAGGATTTTTTTGTATGGAGTACACTTACCACACAGACCCATTCTCTCATATCTAGGCTCAGATTTACCACTCGCAGTTTATCTGAGTGAGCTGAGCTCATGGCGTAGTACTACAAGACAGACACTAGCTCCAAAGCTGTAGTACAATGGAACTGACCTCAAAAGGGTTAAACTAGTCATCTCTCAACAAAAGGCAGCCATCAGAACCATTTGTACCTCAAACTATGGGCAGCCCTGAGTGCCCTTGTTTGAATCCTAAAAATTATAAACATAAAGCTATTCATACATTCAACTGTTCGCTTCACATTTATAAAGCCTTGAATGTAATGCTGATCTAGATCTAAGACTCTCCATTGAAAATTATAACACATGGGCATCACACTAAATACAACTTTTATTTAACATACCAGCCATTTCCTGTCAAGGCAGGGTGACAAAAAAAAAAATCATTCACCATCTGTCTTGCCTGAAGTTTGATGACATCACAGTTCAAATGACCATCTGAACTACAACACCCTCACTTCTTCTGCAGAATGCAAGCACTATACGTCCACCTCCAGGCCTCAAATCTGGCTAACTGGTTTTGCAGAATCCCTTCATAAATGTTACCTTGCTCATATTCCAACAGCACGTGAAACCATAAAAACCACTGATCTCCACTCTAATCTAACACGCTCTCACACAAGCCTTTTTGGAGGATCAAACCTTTCATCATTCAAACACTTTTTGATATTTCTTATGTTCACCTGAATCTCTATAGTAACTATGCAAATGAAAGCTTCAATAATCTTGAATAACTTAGCAGAAAAAAGCAGAAAAATATACATTATTAAACCAACTCAATCAAACCTGAAGGAATTTTGTGTACTTAGCTTAAATAAATAAATTTTTATGCTATACTTGCAATTTCATTTGCAGTCAGCATCATAAAATTAAGTAATTAATCCTAACATTTACTACTATCATTAACCCTTTGTCGATCTTGGCCGAAAAAATTCGGGATTACGTGTTTTTGGCGCGTGTCATACTTCGCGCCCCGCGCGGCCAGCTTCCCGTTCTTTAGTTCCAACCAATCACAAGCCTTCCCTGAGTCTCTTCAGCTAAGTACAGTTCGCTTCTGCCGCCTTCCCATTGGTTGAGAGATCAAAATATAAACACTAGCGGCTTGGCTTCGAACACACTCGCATTTTTCCCTCCACCCTTGCTAATCTACTCTTGGATTATATATTCTACAATGTCGGTAAGTACTGTTTGTTGTGTTTAGTGCTTACATGAATAGTTTAGGCATATTTTGATATATACCTAAAGTCCGTGTGAAGCATAATATGAGTGTAGCATGCAGTTGAAAAAAGTGCAAGCATTTTAGTCCGAATTATTTCGGTATTGCGCGAGTTTCCGGGAATGTCCAATTTTAGTCAAATAAATATTTATAAAAAATTTTCAATTGCATATATGAACTCTGTAGTGGTCTGGATTTATACAGGAGGTTTCTATTGTCCTTCCAGTTCCATGAGAGGCTGTTTTATGGGGAGCAGTCGACCAGCAGGTCGAGGTATATCTGCGTTTCTGAAGACAGTGACTCAGAACCAGAGGTAGACGAACCAGAATTGCTGGATAGTGGTGATGAATACTTGCCACCGGATGCACAGGATGCAGAGATGTCAACTGATGATGAGGAAGAAAGGGAAGAAAGGCCAGCCAAAAAGCAGAAAGTAATGAGGAAAAAGAAAACTTTTAGGATTGAGGAATACCCGGATGAGGAAGAGATCCATGAGAATATTGCTCTTCAAGTTTCATCTGAGTGGACCGTAGATGACATTGAAAATGATCCTTTGCCGGCATATGAACATGAAAAGCCTCTTGCAATTAGGTCTCCATATGAGTATTTTCGTATGTTCGTTACTCCAGCCATGATAGATAACATAGCATATCAAACAAATTTGTATACAAGGCAACAAGACGTAAATAGTACTTTTTCAACAGATTCTGAAGAGATCATGAGGTTCATAGGTATTTTGTTGTTCATGGGTATTAATTCACTACCATCCCTCGAAGACTATTGGAAAGCTGGTTTTTAGGAGCCAACAGGTTGCAGATAGCATGGCGTCTAAGAGGTTTAGGTACCTTAGAAGTCATATTCATTTCAATGACAACACAAAAAAGGATAATGACAGATTCTACAAAGTAAGGCCTCTTTACACTGAACTAACTAATGCTTGCTTGAAAATTCCAGCTACACCCAAGCAATCTATTGATGAAGTCATGGTTGGTTTCAAGGGTAAAACTGCTGGAAACCTAAGGCAGTACATCAAAACAAAACCAGATAAGTGGGGTTTCAAACTTTTTTGTCGTGCAAGTCAAGATGGACTCATACATGATATACTCATGTATCAAGGCACAACAACTTTTGACACACATCCCATACAGCTGCCACAGGAAGAATCTAAACTTCCAATAAGTACAAAGATTGTTCTGGTACTTGCACAAACTAATGAACAAGACAAACACATCA